GTGCTATATTTTCATGATTTTTGCTTTAAATATATAATCATGATTTTTGATTTCATAAAACCTATCTATATAATCTGCAAACTAAATCCAGTTATTGAATAGTCTATTTTATTGAAAAGTCTTTGAAATCTTTTTTCATTATTTTAAAAAGTTTAAACTAGAATTTACTGACTTAGAAACTATGATAAGTATGATTTTTTAAAAAATACATTTTTTGAAAGTCTTATCTGATCTCTATATAATTATCATGATTGTTAGAATACTGCTTATTCACAACAAAGTGCTAGACAAAATACGGCATTTGATGAAATGGAGGAAGTGCCTTCTATTTAGGCAACTGATGATAGATTTTTTTAAACTTAAGTTTCTGCATTTCGTCGATGTTTAAAATATCTGTTGAAGTTTCCCTTTCGAAAGTGAACCATTGTGCAGTCATGGGATGCAGTGGCATATTTTTGCAGAGGCTAGATATACAATATGCCATGATCCCTATGGTGCAGGGCCGGGCCCACTGGGTACTTAATACATCTACAGAAGAAAGATGATTCAGGGCTGGCTCTCTGCCAAGAGCATCCTGGTGCCTTCTTGTGTCTCCTAGGATCCGGAGATAATCATGGGAGCACTCCTGTGGTAGTGCTTGTGTTTTTGCTGCCTGTGGTAGAGATGAATTTTGGCAGCAAAGATAAAGAAATTCAGAGGTGAAATCAGAGAAGTCCTTTTCACCTTATTTAATATGACCAACTCACTTTTTCTGTGGCAAGGAAAAAAATAGTATTTTACTTAATTTTGCATGAATAATGAAAACTAATCTATAATATCTACTCCTATTAGATATGAGAAAAAGTGTCAAGTGTTGGAAGGATTTATATGATATTTTTCTAACCTTGTAAAGGAGCTTAATGTTTATTAATATGAGTGGTCATTCTAAATGTTATAATGGTAATGACTCCATCATTTAAATAAATGGCATCGCCATCCTCCAGGTGTTGATTACTCTTTCTTCTCATGATGGCTTTTCATCCCTAACCAGTCTATATTCAGACCTATCAATCTTATTGCCCAAATGTACCTCTATTTAATTACACTGCTCAGATGTACCTTTTCCACCCTGTTCTCTATATCTATACTGCCACCAAATTAGTTCAGGCCATCATCATAATTTACCTGGATTCCTGATGCAGCCTTCATATTAGTCTCTCTAATTCCATAGTTTGCTCCTCTATAGGTCACTATTCATAATAAGGAATCATGCCCCTTCCTAAAAATATTCATTGGCTCATGACTGCATAGAAAAAGGAATAAATGCAGAACATAGAAACCGATCAGCAGCAAATTCTTTCTGTTAAGATACAGTTAACTCTCTGATCTGGGAACCCACCTCATTTATATGCTTCAGCCACACTAATGTTTTAGTATCTGGAAGTCGTGGGTTAATTTCACTCCCTAAGGTCTTTTCAAGTGCTGTTTCCAGTGCCTGGACTATTCCTTCCACTCTGAATGTTTAGCTCCTCCTCAAACTTTAAATCAGCTCAGAGATCGTTCTTGATCACCTTGTCAAAAGTGGTTTGTCACCTTTTGGTCTGTATCTTGGTACTTTGTTTCCTTCAAAATGCTTATTAAATTGCATGCAGGTATTTTGTGGATTTTTTGTATCGAATGGTCCAAAGGAACAGAGAGAAAGTCTGTATTCTTGACTCAGCTTCCAGAATAGTCCCTGGCATTGAGGTAGCATGAAGGGGTGGGGGAAGGAAGTGTTCCTAGATATTTATGTAAATTATAAAGTCGCATGGAGGGGTGGGGGAAGAAAGTGTTCCTAGATATTTATGTAAATTATAAAGTACAAAGATACGACTTAATTTACAATAGGGCACATCAATCCAGTAAATTTTTGCATTTTATGATTCTATTTCTTTTTTATTTGTTGAGTATCTGCTACATTTACAACCTTGTACTATGATTTCGAGGAGGGAAAATTAAAATATACTGATATGTATTCTCATTTTCAGCAGTTATTAGGCAGTAATGTCTTTAAAAGTAAGTAGATTAAAATATATTCTTAAGAAAGCAATGGCCAGAACTGGATTAAAATATATCTAAAGAAAATTGGAGTAACTAAGCTAATATGACTTTAGTATAAATGACTCCCAATATACAATGATGACCTTATTAGGTTTAAATCTGTATCTTTTACTAAGAATTTAGGTTCGCTCAGCAATCATAAATGTAAAATATTATTTTTTTAATGAATGTGGGTACTTGAGTGAGCTTAGTTGATATAAATATGGTCAAATGAGGCTATCGATCCAGTGCTCACATGATCCAAGTTGGTGTTTACTCTAGGCTCGTGGGGCAATTTGTCTCACAGATCCATGGTGTTCACCAAGAAAGGCTCCGGGAGACATTGTGGGCTAATCCATGAAGGTCCATCACTATTATTGCAGGCCGGGAGAGAGGCTTCAGAATTCATACTGGTTAATGATAGTGTTATATTTACACACACACACACACACACACACACACGTGCACACGCACACACCCTGTGTGGCAATAAGTCCCCTCATTATTTTTTTGAGACTGGACCTAAAGATATTAACCAAACAAGTAGTTTTGCTATTAACATTTGGTTGAAAATTTAGCTTTCAGTTAGGTGACCAGCTTTGATTATTTTTTTTCTTTTTGGTAAAGAATTCGGCAATTATGTTTCTTCTTGAAAGACTAAACTATTTCATGAATTGTCACCAGGGATTTTGTTAAATTTGCTATTAAGGTGGCATATTGTGGTTGTTGTAATGCATTGGAATGCATCTGTGTACTAATTGAAGACGGCCCTCTGTTTTACATGTGACAAATTAGCTAATTTATTCTTACACAGGGGTATTATGACTTCCCTCTTCAGAATTCTGCAGAGTTAGATTACTATGTAAGATGGCAAGGTCATAATAAAGGATATTATAAATAAGATTCTGTAAAAATAATTTTCATATGAAAACTTATGGGAAATCATTCACGGAATGTGGGTAGACTACTTTTGTGGAATATGATAGAACAGTTTTGGTGTCTTGCCATCCTGCAAAATGAAATTTCTTCATTAAAGGCTTAACTTACTCCTCTGTCTCTGTATAGCTGGAAGGAAATGGCTTTCAGCAACAGGGAAAGCCCCAGCACTTAGCTGCTTAAGGCAGAATGAAGTTTGGAAAAATGAAACGTGGATGGTGAGGAAAAATGCCAGACCATGATAAAGAGGGAAAGGGGGAGGGAATGCATCAAACAGTGCCAATAACATAATCTGCCACAGACAAATTTGAGTTGACATTATATAGAGAGTTGAATTATTTAATATCTTTTTACTTCTGAGAAAGAAGTTCACCTTTTCTCTTTAAAATCACAATTGTATCTTAAGTGAAAACATGCTATTATTGCTTCTTTTCTATAGGAAATTGAATACGTTTGGATTTTTAAAGTGATGTAATAGGGAGCCAAAATGCCATATATTATTATTAAAATATACCATTACTTTAATTGTAATTTCGTTGCTATTCATTTTATGATTTCCTTTTGTTGTGTCAGGTGTTTGAGAGATTGCTATTATTGATCATAAATTTCTTTAAAATGTCTCCTTGGATTTTTTAGAAAGCTTACTGAGTCATTTATCAAAATAAGATAAAACTCTAATTGCACCTATGATTATTCACTTGGAAATTTATAGGGAGTAAGTACATTTCCATTGTCATTAACCTGCTATCTCTGTCCTTCAATGAATGCCTTTTTTCTTTCCTTTTATTTTTCTCTTCTTTTTTTCTACATTTCATCTTCTGCGCATTTGATATGTATGCAATACAAATTTTACTCAACTATTAGGTCAAACTATTAATGTAAATAATTGGAAAATTGAGCCTCCGAATAAGAATTAATAAGATTAGACAGGTGCCTTAAAATGTAAGCACAAAAACTTTTCTGTTAGAGATTTTCAGTGAAATTTTCTGTGTGTTATATGCCAAACTAGACTTTCTATGTTTTCCGATTGTTTTTTA